CTTAAAAAAGGCCCTGAAGGGTTAGCAGGATGTATATGGGCATGCATCATCGATAGTCTGATTAACCCATTGAGTGGCAGCTGGCACTTGATCCTCTTCACCTCTTGATGAATAAAATCATCTGGCATTAGACAGAGCAAAGTAATAAAGTAGGGTGCATCAGGATGCATTATTGCCACTTAGGGATTAAAACATGTAGTAGTTGCATAGACAAATTTTTATCGATACATAATTTGTCTTGTTTTGGCACATCAACTTTAAGTGGCAATTTGCCCTGATGTGCCCTAGCTACTTTATTAATTATACCCTGTATGTTACACCACACAATTTTACTCATAAACGGGAAAGCTGTTGCCATTCAATGGGTTATCACGCAGACTAGCTATATCTGCTGTTAACCCTTTAAGTGGCAATGTACTACCCTGATGCACCCTACTTCATTGGTTTAGTCTGTCTAATGCACCTATCAATTGACGCCCCGACTCCCCCCACCCCGGGACATAGTGGGGAAATGTGGGGAATTTTATGGTATTTGACTGCATTTTTTGCATGTGGAGATCGGGGATGGGAAGTAGGGGTGGGGATTTGACTTCCAGCTGTCATGGTGACATGCTAAAATTAAATTTTTGCAGTTTTGTACAGTAACAAGGTATATGTCTCAATGCTTTTTATATATAAAATAAATTGTTTAATTGCTTTTAATTCTCCTTTTCTCTCTTTACACTTTTCTTCAATCATTGTTTACTGTGATTTTAAATATTTCTTGTAGTTCAGTTTTGCAGTTTTTAAAAGTCTTAATTTTATATACCCTATTTGGCAAATTGGCATTTGTGAAATATATATTTCACAAATGCCAATTGCACTAATTGCAGCAGAGTAATTGTAAAGTAACAGCAGTTGAGGTATGTAAAAGGTTGCAACAATCACACATGCAAGTTCGAGTGGTTCCATTTTCATTTTTCAATGTGTTGGGCTTGACAAGGAAGAGGAATTAATTGGGGGAATGATTTTCCTCTTGTGTATTTCTACTGTAAAAGCACAAAATAAACACTGATTTTTTAATATCTACTATATTTTACTATATAGGTTTCGTTATACCATTGACTATTGTCAATTTACTCAATTGGTACGTTGTTCTGTTCGTTAGTAAAGTTGTAATTGATATTTATATTTGCATGAAGTGCGTACTTTTATACAGAACGTTCTTAAAAAAATGGCAGTTTTGTCAGATTGCCCCTCCAGGGTGGGGGGTTTTGAGGGCTTTTGTGGTAAACATGTCCAGTAGGGTGGGGGTTAATACACTTTAGAACCAATGTCAAATCAAATCCCCACCATGTCCTGGGGTGGGGGGAGTCGGGGTGTCAATTGATAGGTGCATAACACCAGACATTTTTACTCGTCAAGGGATTGTCCTAGCTGCCACATACACAATGGATTGAAGATATGACCCATCTATAATTTAAATCTGGCTTATCTTATTGATCTTACAGTAAAATGACATACCTCAGGAATTCCACTGCCACAGGCATACGGTGCAAATGTGTGAACCAGAGTAACACAAAGTAATGCAAAAAGTAACCCAGACAAAGTGAACATAAAGTAATTGGATGCATAAGAAGCCGAGCTACTGCTCGCCTCAAACACTTCCGACCATGTTTTCCACTGCGAACAACCATCATGAGTTGTAAATGATGAATTATCAGCCCAGCAACATGACTCTTTATTAAGCAATACCTGACTTACACACACTCCCTCCTTTAAGTCGAACATCCAGTCCGCTCCTATATCAATAATTCCTGCAAACAATCCACAACTGAGGCCAACCAATAACACAACCAACCACCCTGACCAAGCGTCGTGAGCCTCCAATATCCGTTCCAAAAATGTCCCCTTTTTCAATTTTTTCATTTTGCGAATTCGAACGCGATCTTGCTGCCTATCCCTTGTCCAGTCAATTGTATCAAAGTCATCATATGTTATATTTACGTCTGTGAAGAGGTCATCATCAGCTTCGTCGGGGTTGATATGTTCGAATTCAATCTCATGATCATCATAATTATAATCCGAGAAATCGTTCAGATCTGCATTTACTGAGAACTGTGATGTACTAGGACCATCATCGTTATATTCACGGTAGCTTACACGTTGGTAGCGACTTGATCTACCCGAGGAGGACGGCATGTTTCAAAATTATGTCAACAACAACAATTCTAGCTGCATGTCAAATGAAATTCCAATTCCGTCTATAAATCCATAGTATACTCTCAACGAGTTTAAAAAATTAATACTTAAAAATATCAATCGGTTTGAACAAAGTAAGAACTATAAAATTGTTGAATTCTCAACCTTTCAATCTGCCTTTCATTTGCCTTTTGTATAACTTGTATCAGGCTCAGTATAAGGAAGTAGCAGATGGAGAACTATTACGTAATCGATATCCATGCGTAAATCCGGCATGACACGCGATCACGTACGAGATATATGTTTCAACTAATAGGGGCCGACCATTTAACTTTTGAGGGAGGCGGGTGATTTTGAAAACAATTTCCTGCAAGGCTATTCTGAACAAAAAAATACCTGCACTAACAAACTGGGGGGAATATCCTGCCCCGGTATTTGGTGGGGAAAAAATGTTGCAAAACAGCATGGTTGCAGGGATCGATTTGACCAGTCCCAGAAGATCAGCTGGTTTGATTTTCAGGGACTAGTGTAAGGTTAATTTCTTGTTGGAAAACTCCTCAAAATGCTGGAAATAGCTTATCTGAGCTTCAAGAAATCCAAAATTGGGGGCATGCCCCCAGACCCCTCTAGAGGCTCGCACCTTCGGTTGTCGACTCGGTTGCCTCAGAATCCTAATTATAGCCCGATTTGCTGCCCTAAAAGGGTTGCCAGGCTTTCTGGGACAGAAAAAGCCAAACCGAATATCAAAATAAGCCAAAAAGAGACAAACTCTAAATTATGGCGAGGGGACTGGTGAAGTGGTCTATTAATAGTCTTGGTCGAGCATGCTTTCAATATTAAATATGTCATGTCGAGCATGCTTTCAATATTAATTCACTGTCAAACATGGCGGACAGTCGCGCTGAAAGTGCTCTCTCTGGCTTTTTCGCTTTGCTGCTTTTGTCTTTGTTTTTGCAGCAAGTTATACATAGCAGACCATACAAGGATGATCGGAGTCATGTTCTCATGGGTTTGGGATATGATTTCGAGTTTATTGGTGGGCAAAGTGGTGTTTGTTATCATAACTTTGTGTGTATTTGGAGTTGGCGGGTAAAGTCGAAGGTCACAGTTAACGATTGCAACCATCTTTGTGGCTGTTCAATCTCGTATTATCCTAACTCAACAGCAAAATTTCGTCCTGTGCTTTTGTTGAAATACGATATCGAAATCAATCCTGGACCTGGCACACAAAATTCAACGAATATCTTGCAACACAAGCTGAAAGTTCTCTCCCTCAATTCTCGAAGCATAGTAAACAAAGCAAATCATTTAACTGCCCTGGAAAGTGTCAATGAACATGATTTGATTGCTATTGTTGAGACATGGCTTAATCCTACAATTAACGACGCTGAAATATTATCTCCAAGTGACTTCTGTATTCATCGTCGAGATAGGACTGACAGACGGGGTGGTGGTGTTATGTTGGCAGTCCGGAAGCCATTGTATTCGACACGAAGAACTGATCTAGAGACTGACGCTGAAATCCTGGCTTGCGAGGTGAGACCGACTCAAAAGAAAAAAATCTTAGTACTTGTTTTCTATCGCCCGCCTTCAACAAATCATGTCTATATGAATGCGTTCAATAAGTGTTTAAAAAATGCAAGAGTGGCCCGTTTTACTCAAATTGTTGTACTGGGTGATTTTAATTTGCCAGATATGAATTGGAATACAAATTCAAGTACTAATAATGGAACTGGTCAACTTTATGACAACTTTACTAAAGCTATTCGGGATAATTTCCTATGGCAATTGGTCGACCAACCAACTAGGAAGGAACATATTTTAGATCTTGTTCTCACAAATATACCCCACAAGATAAGTAACTTAGAAATATTCGACGACACCATAAGTACAGACCATAAATTGATTGAGTTTTATTTGGACTTTAATATCCCTAAACGGAATAAGATTAGCAAAAGTGTTTTTAATTTCAAAAAAGCAAAATGGAATGAACTTAAAATTGCGTTAACATCTGCCTCTTGGGATCAAGTGTTTGTTTACGACTGTGTCAATGCTACCTTGTCAAGTTGGACAAAAATGTTTATGGAAATTGTGGAAAAGTATGTTCCTAAAATTGAAATTAGGAACTCAAATAGCACTCCATGGATTGACCAGGATGTAATTCGTCTTCTTCGAAAGAAGGACAAACAAAGGCGTATCGCAAACAAAAGCTTTGACAACGAGGATGTAAATAAGTATAAGCAATTGCGTAAAGAAGTCAAACAACTTATCGAAGCTAAGTATACTGAATATTTAAACAACATGCGTATGTCTATAAAAGAGAACCCCAAACGATTCTGGTCGTTTGTAAGAGCTAGATCTGCGAAGCCTGGTATACCGGAGTTTGTCAACTTTTCCAACGTGTTTGCTTCGACCCCTGTCGATAAAGCTAATTTGTTTAACGTTTATTTTCAGTCTGTTTTTACAGCGACTGATAATGTATGCAGTAATAATGACTATGCAAATTTAGACTCCCACACGTCATTAACAAACATCACGCTATCTGAAAACGAAGTGCTTAACTGCCTACAAAATATTAATGTCTCGAAGGCAAGTGGTCCGGATGGTATACCAGGAAGACTTTTAAAAGCTATTGCAATCGAGATAACACCATCCCTGACTAAAGTTTTTAACTTATCGTTGTGTTCTGGAAAAGTGCCTTCAGCATGGAAAACAGCTCTTATAACTCCAATTCTAAAAGAGGGTAATCCCCATGTAGTGACAAATTATAGACCCATTTCCCTCTTATCGATTTTGTCGAAAGTCTTGGAGAGATGTATATACAAACATTGTTACGAGTTTATACAACATAAACTAACCTTCTATCAACATGGTTTCGTTCAAGGCAGAAATTGTGTTACCCAGCTCGTCCGATTTTATCATAAAATCCTTGAGGCTTTAGATAATGGACATGAGGTTGATACAATTTACTTAGATTTTTCGAAGGCCTTTGATCGAATCTCACATCGTCCACTTCTTGACAAATTGAAACGTCATGGCTTTGGAGGGACACTTCATGACTTCATGACAAATTTACCAATTTACGATAATTAACAAAAACTTTAAAAGTAGTATATTCAGTGTTTTCTAAAAAGTGGTTTATTTCTATACTTTATTACTTTTTTCAAGATCTAAAAGGATCAAAATTTTTTCATGATTGTCGGACGTCTGCGAAGGGTAGCAAGGAAATGAGAAGCGTCAGAGCTTTGCTGTCATTGGTTGGAAGTGATCCTATTAAATAT